CGGGAGGAAAAGCCGGGCTGAGGGCGGCTCCTTCCCGCCCGCTCCCACCTCTCCCGCAGGCGATGGAAGTGACCAACAGCAGCGCCGAGCCCCTGTACAACGGGACGAGCGGAGACCTGCTGACCTCCAACTACAGCCTCGCGCCAAGCACTCCCATCAACCAGAACGTCAGCCTGCATCAGGCCTCGCTGGGCGGCTGCGCCCAGGACTTCTCCCTGTTCAGCTCGGAAATGGAGAGCCCGGCGCTGGCGGGCGGCTCGGCCCTGCTGCAGCTGGCGCCGGACAACTCCACCGGCCTCAGCTCCAGCTTCGGCTCCACCAACCTGAGCGGCATCTTCTTCCCGCCGCAGCTCAACGGCACCGGCAACGAGACGGGCGGCCCCGAGCTGCCGGACCCGCTGGGCGGGCTGCTGGACGAGGCCATGCTGGACGAGATCAGCCTCATGGACTTGGCTATCGAGGAGGGCTTCAACCCCGTGCAGGCCTCCCAGCTGGAAGAGGAGTTTGACTCCGACTCGGGGCTTTCTCTGGATTCCAGCCACAGTCCTGCTTCTCTCAGTAGCTCGGAAGCCTCCTCCTCCTCCTCCTCTTCCTCCTCTTCCTCCTCCTCCTCGTTTTCCGAGGAAGGAGCTGTTGGTTACAGCTCAGACTCTGAAAACGTGGACTTGGAAGAGACGGAAGGGGCCGTCGGCTACCAGCCCGAGTACAGCAAGTTCTGCCGCATGAGCTATCAGGACCCCTCGCAGCTTCACTACCTGCCTTACCTGGAGCACGTTGGCCACAACCACACCTACAACATGGCACCCGGCGCCCTGGAGCCCGAGGAGCCCAAGCTGCCCAACATCGGCAAGAAGAGCAGCAAGGAGAAGCCCTCCGAGTTCCTGGACAAGCAGATGAGCAGGGACGAGCATCGCGCCAGAGCCATGAAAATCCCCTTCACCAACGACAAGATCATCAACCTGCCCGTGGAGGAGTTCAACGAGCTGCTCTCCAAGTACCAGCTGAGCGAGGCCCAGCTGAGCCTCATCCGGGACATCCGGAGACGCGGGAAGAACAAGATGGCAGCCCAGAACTGCCGCAAGAGGAAGCTGGACACCATCCTGAACCTGGAACGGGACGTCGAGGACTTGCAGCGGGACAAGTCCAAACTGCTCAGGGAGAAGGTGGAATTTCTCAAGTCCATCCGCCAGATGAAGCAGAAGGTGCAGAACCTCTACCAGGAGGTGTTCGGCCGCCTGCGGGACGAGAACGGGCAGCCCTACTCGCCGAGCCAGTACGCGCTGCAGTACCGCAACCCGGCGGCCGCGCGCGCGGGCCGAGCAGCAGGCGCGGCGGCAGGAGAGGAAACAGAAGGACCGGCGGAAGTGAGAGCCGCGGCGGAGAGGGAAACTCGCTCAAGAGAGACCTGGAGAAGGGCTGAGCCTGGAAGAACTTAGAGGAACTTTCATGCCTTCGTATCCAATATATCTTCTCAACCATGACTGCTGCCGGGCCGTGTACAGCAAGAGACTGGTGCCCTCGGAGGGCGCGGGACCGCGCGCTGCGATGCCGATGGCTCCCTGCGGGGAGAGCCTGGGAGGAAGGGACAGTGCCCCGGCGAGCCCAGCGCCTCCGACAACCTGGAATCCTTTGAGCGCAGGAAAACAAGCTGGCATCACGGGTGGTGAGAATTGGCAGGGTGGAAAAACTACTGGTAGGAACTGGCTTTAAATATGAAAAGAGATTTAAGCAAATGAACTTAAAACAAGTTATAGGAGAGACATTTTTCTGAACTTCCAAAGTTCTGTGATTTCAGGTAGTTGTGTTTTTTTGGTTTCTTTTTTTCCTTCCCCCCCTTTTTTTTTTTCCTGAACCAGTTTTGACATCAGTGTGTGTGATCCAATCTGATTTAATTCCAGCATAACCGCCATCCCTTCCTAGATCAGACCAGTGCACACATGGCCACACACGTGCCGTGACTTCCATTAACCCTTTCCAGCGTGCGGGAGCTGGAACTGCGGGAGCTGGAATGGGAGGCTGTCCCGGAGCGGGTGGAAGCGGGAAGGGTTAGGAGAAGCCACGCGCTGCATCCCCGCCGCC